ACAATACAGCCAGATAAGCCACAATAGGTTCCATGTTACACAGATTATGTACTTTATACAGCCTACTGTAACAGTACCAACGGTAATCTCAAAACCAACCATCATCCATTAGAATATGATCACAATCACAAGACCGATCATGTAATCATGAATTTGTTGGTTACGTTGTTTGTTCCTCCCCCAAGAAATATGAATCTTTGATTAGCAGTAATTATACAACATATTTTTTTTAAGCTTTGGAATAACATAAATGAGATGAGAATTTACGTTATACATCATTTTTGTTGTGAAAAGTTAAAAAAAGAACACACATCGCTTGCACTAGCCTCCTTTGCAGCCGTTCTTAGGGTCGTCACGCAACGTTGCGTGACGACCCTAAGAACGGCTGCAAAGGGCTACGCTTGCACGGCTTTGGAGAATTGAAGAGAATAGGTCGTTTGTATTGTCCGTGTCGCTTATCGATACGCGTCTAAGCGACCAGTTGGGTGGATGTCAAGCCATTTTCGGCTATTCATGTATAATGTAGGTACTGTGAATATATTACTTTTTGGGTTCGTGTTAATTATACTTCTTGAAATACTTAAAAAGTGAAAAATCAACTTTTAAGGGCAAAGAGTCCTTCTTCATTTAGTGTAAATACGCTATGTTTTAAGATTAAAGTATGAATGAAATTAAGCTATTATTTATGTAAAATTAATTGCCCACCAATTCAAAAGGTCCAAACTTCAAGGCTATTTGTAAACTGCTACGCCTCGTAAACACTGGAGGACTTTCCAGGGCTATCCAAGAATTGCCGCTGTTATTTTAGCATATTACTGAAATTGCAATTACGTCTTAATTTAAAGAACTATTTCGAAAGCATTAGCATTTTGAGGATTTGTAAGAAATTTCGAGAACTCAGAGAACCAAAGTGCCTAATGCTTCTACGATTTTTGTTCAAATTTTTCAAAACCACATCCTATATAATGTGATAGACATGTTTAACGGCGTATTCTCGCTTTTTTTCTTTTTTTTTTTT